ACACCCAGACAGCGATAAAACCCAGCAGCGTAAAGGATTAGCAGGAACGGGAGGGGTTAGTGGTAAAAACCAACGGAGGCCTTCGGGCTCAAGTCTATGAGCCCCCTCAGAAGGCATGAGGTGTTTGAGAAAATTTGGAAAAAGAAAATACGTTGATGGTGAATTGCAATTACACTAAATAGTCAAAAAAAAATTTCTAATCTAGAATATATCCCTCGGCCATCCTCAGCACTACTGCCCACAAACTTCCTAGTATACAGCCACCTCAAGTTCAGGGAAGGTTCTAAATTCATACAGAAAAGGCTGAATAAAAACCAAGCCATTCAGCTAGAATCAACCTTGAGAGAACCCCTTTCAGAGGCCTGTGATAACCCTCCCCTGAACCTCTCCCTTGAACCCCGACCGTCGAACGCCCCTTCGGTCCAGCCAAGGCCCTCACCGCCACATTGTCAATAGAGGGTAAATTGGAGCTTAGATTCCCGGCCAGCCCCTCAGATTTAGCTATCCCAGAGAAGTGACTATCGGAAAGACTCACACAGATTGGCTCCCTAGTTCCAAAGCTAAAAAAAGGTTCCAAGGTGCGTTGACACCAAAAACTGATGTCATAGATATCACACTACCCATGCTACACCCAGGATGGGCACAACACCTCAAGCCTCAGCCCTACAGCCATGACCCACTATTCCGGGGGGAAACTCTGAGATCTCACGAACCGGGACCTTGGAGTCAGGAAACTACTATCCTTCTATCATATAAGATTAGACTGTTTTCACATCATGAACAGTCACTCGCATTTGTACTCCCAAACTCTAATCCCCAGCATGACACGCCCCCAAGTTCCCTTACAACATGTGGGGCTTTTGAATCCCTGTAGGGGATCCCCCTCTTCTCTAGTTGCCCTGAGGGTATTTAATTCCGATAAATTATATAATTAAGGCTCTGTTCCGCCTGTGCCAATAAAAATATATCACAATAAAAGTTGAAAATGGCATATATGCTAATAAAAAATTCTACATCGAAAAAAATATATAGGTGTTTGGCAAGGCTTTCTGAATTGTATGAAAAACAGAAAGAAAAAACAGTCTCATCATATAGGTTCGGGTAAATTCTATAAAAACTCTAGATTTAGGAAAAACCTCTAGTAAATATTACAATAAATAACTTGATTACCATTTAGCCAACTACCTTCCATCCCTCTATTCTTTCATAACTTTATCTAGTTGTCATTTAACTTTCCTCTTTCATGATTTTGATTCCACCTTCTATTATTGTAAGCCAGTTTATACTATCTTTATGTTTATTCTAGAATTCTAATATATTTGTAAATACCTTATATTTATGAAATTAACCAACTATTATTAGCTGTTTAATGAAATAATACAGGTTAGTAAACTAAATTATAATTCTATTGTAAAAGCATGGACTATATTTCATGATTCTGAACCTAGCCCTACAATAAAAAAGATATAGAATAAAAGTTTATCAGCTCAATAAAAATATCATGGTTTGATGCCCTGTACCGAACACACCTCTATATAAAAACTTAAATAATATGCTATAAAAGTGATATGCCAAACGGAACCTAAGTTCAATTTAGATAAATGCGTGGCCTCATTCACTTTCCTTATTCTCGATTCCTAATACTTACCATAACACCTCTATGCTAGGCTACATTCTGCACTATCAATATTAACTTCCTCGTTTTTTTCGAAATGCAACAAGCGAGAGTAGGCCTAACACTAAATTAAACTTGAAGTTTAACTTTAAACCCCCTATTCTAAGACTAATAACCGTGAATTTATCCGCATCGCGGAGGTGAGTTGGATGCTATACCTGCCACACATCTGCATATGATATATGCTAGTACTATAGCCTGGGCGATGGTGTTTTATTAGAATACCCATCTTAGTTTACGGCACAGACTTTACTCCCACCTGGGACCCATATCTTTGGGTTAAGTATCGGCTAAGGAGTTACCAGACCTTTTATCTGGCGCTTTAGCGTGCCATGTATTATCACAGCTAGACTTCTCGGAAAGTGTCACAGAGCAGCCGCAGGCGCCATCGATGACCACTCTCAGAGCGCAGCACTAGGCAGCAATCTTGAACTATAAAAACCACGGCCCGGAGGAAAACATTGTTACTCGGGAATAGCAAACCTACCCCATATACCAGTAGCACACAGGCTCTCACCCCGCGGATATCTGTTGAGACAAATGAGGATGGGACTAGCGGTCACGATAGATGATTTGAGTGACGAAGTTCCAAATCTGCGGCCATTGCTAACAGTGCGGTAGTGTCTCCCAGTGGTTCCTGATGCACAATATCTCACTCCCACTTGCCCTAGTCCGGGGAGATTGGAAATGCGTTTGATTGGCTCGCCCTCTCGATGCGCCTTGGAGTGATATTTGGTGATCTAAGGAATATTTTTGATGATTATTTCCCTCCTTTCCTTTCCCTCCAGGTTCCGCATCCAAGCGGGTCTAATGTGCTATACGGTGTGTTGAGGCTCAAGCCAAGATACGCAACGTAAAATTAAGATAATGTAAAATGTGCGAGGGGCCGGCCCACGGCATCGAGTAGAGTAGATACAAAAATGACATTGAAAAGCAGAGCTATAAAGCAGCTATCCCATCATCCATCCTCTCAGCCTCTAATTCTCCAAGGACTCAAAACTACCACCATCACCAACATTAATCATAAAAAATGAAACTGGCCCTCTTTCTCCACCCCTTCGCCCCTTCCTGGCCTACCGCTCTAACCAAGCTCAGAAACTTGAATACATATCAGTCCTACAACCCTCATCTACCCCTCTAGAGCAATCAAGCACGGCAGCCTCAAAATGCCTTATTCCCTATCCCTCTACGGGCTCTCTGACAAAGTAGGCAATAGCCTAGGCCCCGATGGGTTCAACCTGATGGTGCAGAAGTGTGGAAACCAGACAACCTAGAGAATGCCCCGATCCCGGTAAGGAGGAAGCTATGGATCAAAATATATTGAAAAGGCAAAGAAGTTGGCACAGTAATTGTGCCCCCGACGACACCGAGGCAATCTAAACACCTCAGGAGCTCAAAAGGGCTGGAGGACGGGGGGAAGAAGCCGGAGAAGATGCGCGGAGGTAAGGGGCAACCGAGAAGACAATTACGCCACCCGGGACGCCCGAGAAGGAGATGATGTCGTTTCTGGGTGTGAGATCGTGGGCGCGAGCACCGATAGCTTACACTAGTCAGGCAGCCTCTCCAAGAATTTAAATCATTCATATTACTAAGAATGAGAGGAAACAAACCTATAATTCTCCCGAGAGGGTTCTTTCGGCAAAGTCTTAGATTTCCAGGTTCTCGGACCGGCATTTACTGTATAACTTAATCGGCTATTTTCAGGTTTTCAACATAAATATGGTACAAAACTGTCGGTTACTGGTTCACTATCACGATCTCTGCACGCTGCAGATGTGATGCTATGTCGGTGGCCAACGGAGGTATTGGCAACGATTCCACCTAATTCACCACTCCATTCCCTAGTCAAATGATCTAGTTGGATAAAGGCCTCAGAATACCGCTAGGCATTCCAGAGAATAGAGTTCGTTAATTCCCGACCAATATTAGGGAGCCTATGCTCGTACCTGGCAATTTAAGGTTACATCCAGGAAGTTTATTGGCACAGAGAGCCGGGGAAATCCGATTCCCGGACCCACCCCCAGGTTTCGCTCAGGATGAAATCTTATCGGAACAAACTATCTCACTAGTTTCCGATTGGGCTCAAATATCTGCCGATTAGGTTGAATTTAGAGTGCAGATAAGAGTAGGCAAGATAGCTTAACGGGCATCTGGCATGCCCAGTTTCAAAGAGGCCTCCGAGATTCAAAATCCAAAGGCCCATGCAGTTGCCTCCTCATCTCCATCTCGCTCCTGCATGGCTCCACCTCTAGGTATGCGGTCATAAAGGAATGACGGGTGAAGCATATGGGGTCTCCTCCGAACCTAGAGACATGCAGTGATGGATCGGGTTAATCTCGAAATGACGCTTTTCCTTCCGTCCCTCATCTCATTCACGAAGAGACTTGCAGTGTGACTACGGCATCCGCTGTTGTACCGCGCGGGCTCTGCCATGTCCCCATCCTTGTCCTTGCCCGCCCCCATACCGATGCCATACCCCCCCCGATAACGTTGTATCGACGTCAACGAAGACACACGCGTAGAACCACCACCAACCAAGCAGCCAAGATCCACGGAACGGCTGTTTCGGCCTTAAATTTTATGAACTTCGACCGTGCGATCGGTACCTTAACATGCTTCCCGCCCTCCCATGACGTGTATGAGAGATCCAGCGTCCTTCCATGAGAGAAAATTATCCCGCGCTATGATGCCCCTGCTTCCTCCTCTTCCGCCTCCTTACCCCCGCCTCCCGTACTTTAATCCAAAACCACCCCGGGCAGCGTAAATTTACCACAGCCTTATGATGTCAAACCAGAATGTTGCGGGTGTTTCGAAATATGCAGGTACAGTGAGCTGCAGTGCGCATCCGTTGAGCTGTATGGTAACGCGATGATGTTGATGAGGTGTGGTGTTTTTGGTCAGTTTCAGCCTTGTTCAGATTTTTCTTCCCCTCGCATGACGATGAGATGGACGAATGACGCGATGCGTCAGCTTTCCTCCGGCGAACGAATACCTCAGAAGTCCGATCGCGTGACTCTAACTTGTATACGTGGAGGTGATATATGACATTTGGATGCAACTGGGCGAAGCATCAAGCGCTAGGCCAGCGAATAACAACGTGTTCCAAGAGAAACACAATTCTACCAATCCGAGGACAACACTGCCACCCGGCTACCAGCCACACGACCCCGAGTGCGCAATCATGATTCACGACCGACATCCCGGTACAATCGAGTATGCACCGCCACACCAACTGGACAACTTGGTTTCTCCACAACTCGATCTTTCTTTTCCCGCTCGCCTCCCTCGCTTCGCTTCGCCCGGCCCAAGCACCCCCTCCCGCCCCACACAATCTTCCGAGAATTAAGCAGTAAATTCAAAAAAAAAATGGACACAGCCAGAACAACAACTACCGCGACAGCCACGACAACACCGCTATTCTCATCGCCTGCATCGCCCACAACTTCCCGCCTCAAGCGCCGTTCTACGGTTCATACCGCTGCCGGTGCTAATAACGTGCACGTTTCGCCCTATCCAACGTCCCCACACACCCCCGAGCCCCCGTGTAAGCCCACGTCTTCCTTGGCGCGTAAACGAAGAAGCTCGATTATGTCTAGGACGAGTATGTCACTAGGGGGAAGCGGTGGGAGCGGATGGATGGAGGCGGGGGGTTACGACAACAGGGGGAGTGCAGGGGATGTGGATACGGCAAGGGAGGGGGTTGAGGAAGGGTTTTCGAGGATTTCTCAGGCTATGGTTCGTTTTCTTCCCTTCCATCCTCTCCCGCGGGTTATGGACTTGGAGAGAGGGGATGATAGTTGGGGGGGGGGGCTTTGTTGTTGATGAGCTGAGGTGGTTTGTTATTTGTTGGTTGGTTGGTTTGATGGTAAACTGACGAGCTTCACAACAGAATCTCCTCTCACTCCAATCCACCGCAACACCAGCTCCTCGGACGCCTTCAACCTATGATGCACCAGTGCATTGGCCCTCACCCGAGGAATTACTTAAAGAGTCCCTACGCCAATCGTTGTCCGCTCTTCATGCTCTCTCGCAGATAAAATATCTCGTTGAAAAGTCTCCCTCACCGACTGATGAGCAGAACGGCGAAACTAGTAGTGGCGGGGTTAGTGAGGTAATGGGAGTTTACGATAGAGCAATGCATGAAATGCGTGCAGCTGCTGAGATACTTGTTCGTTTAGGTTGGAATACCGCTTCTTCCAGAGTAGCTTGCTAATCAGATCTCAGACATGGGCGGAACGGCATCTTGAGGAAGAAAAGGAGATTGTAAAAGAGCGGTTATTGAAAGGGTAGTTTTCGCGGTTCTCTTTCTGTCCGCACGACGGATGTGTATGTGAAGTGGGGTAATGAGCAGATGTGATTCATAAGGTATGGATTATCATGGGCAATCTTGGAGCTTCTGTCAAAATTAGAGACTTACATTTCAGCGTGTACTTTTACGATATCGTTTTTTTGGCCAGCGTACGACATGAGGGCAATTGGGTGTTCGGAGTTTATCATTATAACGATTTACGACCGATGCTACGGCAATACCTATTTCGTTCTCTTGCTTTTATTCCGATTTTGCTTTTCCCGGTTTGTGAAATAGCTCTCCTTTTTTAGTTTAGCATTCCCTGAGGGAGCATTATTGGTGGGCATGATATCCAGCAAATGGCATCATGCCGGGGATGCGAATCACAGTAATATTCACCACTCGTCCCCTTCCCGTAATCATCTCTCCGGCCGGATGAGCCCGCAGAACCCTAGTGCCAACCCCACCCCGAACCCCGACTTACTAGTACTCGCAGCACTATAGCCTAGGAAGAAACCTATGTCTTCGCGCAGTTAGTTCAGCCCGACTAGTAATTCGGGCATGATACCGCGCCCGAATGTTGAGGAAAGAGATATGAGATGACAAACGCGACACGACCAACACGGCTAGCTGCTAAATGGTTATCGATAGAAGATCACCCCGCAACCAGCTACGTGCGCCAAGATCCGTTATGTGGCCGGAAACGTAGGGTACTGTACTCACAGTGGTTCCAGTCTTTCGGCAATCTCCACTAATCCTCGCGAATCTAAGCCCAACTCCGGCCCACCCGAGGACCGTACCGGTAATAGTAAACCCCACCAGCCTGCGCAGTCCCAGTAAAAAAAATCGTGAGCACGCAACGCTCTGAAGAACTTCTCAAGGCATGGTAGGTTCTTCTTATTGTATTGGCCCTATCTGTAAGTAGGGAGGATCTAGAGGTGGTGTTTCCCACTTTCGGTTTCCGTGATGTCGTTCCCGCCATCGATACGATACGATACGGTTCCTTGCGGAGGTGAGATCCTAGGCAGCATACTGTACTAGGCGCGACTCGGTACTAATAAGGTATCATATTATTAAGTGATTTTCAGAGGACGTGTAGGAGAGGGCTTAGAAGAACTCTTCAAGTTATGATATAAAGTATCATATCATATTATGATCGTATGGCATCGAAATGTCAGGAACTTGCGACTACCGTATGCCCAGGTTCGAGGATCCTGGCTACTCTACGAGTACCGTAAGCGTGCGGCTGACAGCCCAATTAGTCACGCAGATTATATAAGCAAAAATGGTGAAATGTCTTGTTGCGTCCGGGTAACCCACGTGACCAGCTTCACACTCTGGTAACCGGTGCAGTGAAGCACCAGCGCCCCACCGCACGAGCACATGAGCATTTTAACTCTTGGCGCTCCCTACCCCTCCCATACGTAAGCAGTGCCAAGATTTCCAGATCCTTTCTTTTGGAACGGACAAGTAAATTTAAGTATGTTGCTGCGTGGAAACCTCGCGGAGGTCGTGGTCAACGGATTTTAGGGGGACTTGGCAAAACTCGTTCGCTCGGAGTGAACTGTTTTGAAATTGAACGTGGATGAGAGGATATGACCTTACAGTTAGAGTTGGCATGGGAAGTTTAGGTAATCCTGCCGTAAGGAAGGTGGCTCCCCAGTTGAGCCCTAGACTACGGTATGGTCGGTGTACCGGTTCTCTCTCCTAGACCAGTGGAACTCTTGAAAACCACTGAGACCCCTGTCGGCGACGAAGAAAGAGATGACTAAGCACTACGTCGCTGGTGGTCTACCGCAATACAGCTAACGTTAGCAACAGTCTGAAATCTGCACGTCCGCGAATTTCTAGATATTAACAAAAGCCGCTTATTAATTTGTGCCTTAGATAGCGGCAAGCGCAGCACTAAATTTTCCAGAGTTTCTGCAGTCTATGATAGAAGAAGATACTTGGAAAAAAAGTATCTGCGGAGCTTAGGATAGACCAATACTCAGCTTGGCATAGCATACAAGAAGCGGGATAACAGCACATTTTGCCCTACGGACCGGCAGGTGTTGAACTCGGCGCCAGAGATAACTTTGGAAAACATACAGTATCGTGAGGAAACATAAAATATCAAACTTCACCAATATCCCGAATTTCACCTTAGTATCATACCGATGGACATTCCAGCACTTTGCTTGCTTGCCCAAAGTTGGTTCATTTACGGGGACAAATCATGATTTTACTTCATCTCGTGACGTAGCGGATATCATACACAGGATCTGATTCCGGTATAAGATCATCGCAATTATGATTTATTTGTCTGCGTGGTAGAACCTCATCATAAACACTTCGAGACTTGTCGACTAACCGATCCCGTGGTTTCGAATGGTAAGTTACATCCCTCTCATCGCTCAGATCCCATCTATGCTCCAATCCCATTCCGGTCGCGAGTCGGGGAAAGTGGGCTAGATGGGCTCAGAGTAACTCAGTAGTTTCCCATCTAGGAATCAAATGGTTGGCCGGGGGAGGTAAAAGCTTCAACTCTCGATGAAGGTCAAAGCCAGATGACTAAAACACCATTAGTTCTTTCCCCCTTCTCATTAGGGTTTCCGGAATGGTGTCATAAATTGTGAGGTATGATATCATACTAGGCGCTGTACTATACGGTACGGTACTCGAGTACAATACTCTCATTTTTGGATAAAATTATACCAGGCCGCCGGAGGCCATGCCATGATGGTCTATTATTTGTGCTCGTGAATCATAATCAACGCTTGGCTATCGAAAGACGTCAATTAGAGCTGGAAAACCCCTCATCTCACGTAAGTCTCGATGCAATATATTGGGCTGGTAGGTTGGGTATTTGGGGGAGGGGTTGAATCAGTGAAGATGCACCAAAGAGGTAGAAATCCAGAAGTCTCGATTGACGTCCAACAGCAGAAGGGGAAGCCACGGAGAGTACGGTAGGGGGTGTCCTGTTTTGTGCTGAATTCGGAGGTTCGATTCTGTCGAAAATTTTGCGATGAAGTTGTCGAGCAAATTCATGTATGAAGTGACTCACTTCAATGCGTCACGTACTTTCCGATCCAATACGTTAACTGGATACAGAACCCGCATAAGTAGGTTTCCGTGAGTATCCTATTAGAGCACCGAAGCGGAATAATCGAATCTCGCACCGGGGTGTTGGAGTTGGAGTTGCCTCTCTTAGTAAGGTCTGTTGTATGATATTTTCTTTCTTATCTGTCCCAGCGTAGGGCGGAAAGCCGATTTTTTTCGCGCTGATTCCCTCAGTTTATCTGGAGAGGGGAATTATGGCTTGTTAGCGCAAAGTCCAACCGCAACATCTCAGATCCTGTGAGACTAGGCAACGGGAGACATGGGGGCCCGAATTTCGAGATATTTGCTAAAAGTCCTGATATCGCTGACTATAAATGGATGAGCAGCATTGAGCCTCGGTGCCTTTCTGGTGTAGAATAGCAGCCTGTTCTACTCCTACAAACGTCGGTATTGAAGATCCGAAGTGGGGCTGAGTTTAGTCCGGGCTGTCAGATGTGCACAGACAATTAGCGATACGAATTTCGGATGCGAGGTTACCAATAGAGAGCCTTATTGACGTTCTACTCGAGTACATACCCTATGATGACTCCTTTCGCTTCATAGCCGAGCCGCCAAGGTCGAGCGATGCACTGCGCCTCAAAGCGCATCCTGGTTGGTCGGTTGACCAACCAGCTCGTTGGCTCCGGCGAAACTGGCGAGAAACGCAGTTTCTTCAATTGAGACGTTCAGCCCCAGGGTCGAAAAACGGTTATGCAAGTTTTTCGGGATCAGCCCGAAACTTAGCCTTGAAAATGCTTTTTCTACCCCAGAGCTGAATCCTCTATGCACGTGAATTTTAAATTTTCCTGAGGAAGGGGTTGTTTCTCTTTTTCTTTCCATCTTTATCGATGCCTTCGAGCAGATAGCTATCTGCTGGGCCCGTGGATATGCCGAAGATTGTGCGACTCATTGGGCAACCATCTGTTTTTCCTCGTTCTTGTTGGTCAGTTGGTTGCCTGGTTTGCACAGCCCGGATGGCTGAGACGCGAGCACCGCTGTAGATGCATGAATCGAGGCTTTCGCGATCGCTAGGAGCTAAGACTGCTGCTCAAGACTCCTTCCCGCGATGCTGACCTGTATTATTGAGCAGTATGATACCAATAGGCATCCAACGGACACAAAAACAATGCTGTATGAGGAAAGTCTAATACGTTAGCAAATCCGGTTCGGTGATTGTCCTGTAGTTAGCTACAAATATATATTGAATCATACCTGTATTCTTTGCCCGGATGCGAGCGGTATTCTCGACCGAGGTACGGTAGCGTGGCCTACCAGCTAGAATGGCGCCAGAACAAAATTCGGAAAAAGTTATTCCATACGGGACCGGTAATCACAGAGCATACATACCGGAAGATGTAAAACTGATCCGCACAGCCAATACCGTACTTGGGCATCCGCCAGAGTTTGGAGGCACCGTGTGATTAAGACCGATCAATCATGACCGCCCCCGACCGTGGGAGTAAAAACAAATAATGCCCCAGATCCCCCAACCAAGCCTCGGGGACACACATTCACACATTCACACACACACACGCACACACACGCACACCCCCGTAGTCAAAAAAACTCTGGGGAGAGACCCTTTATATGCCAAACCCAGCGAGCCCCAAAATGACAACGGACTATCCTCACCTGAGGCACCAGGCTCACACAAAACCGGGAAGTCAAGTTCTCGATAAGTTGCCTGCCCGTTCGCCCTGAACACACTTGGTGATGGGAAAAACCGAAAAAAAAAATTGGATGAGCGCATCAAACCCTATCCGCTGTCCTTCGGAGTGCAAAGTAAAGTGATAGAAATTACACTTTACTGGAGCCTAAGTCTGTTTTTGGACGTAGGGAGGCTTCCCCCGGATATCCACAAGAAATGGACGGGGGAAGGGGATGCGAACGTCACCTTGTACTGTACTATGCGCCTGCAGTATATGAGACGTAGAGGACACTATGTCCATATCCTACGGTGGCGGTGGGTCGGATGCTAGGTTTGTCTCCGCAACGTTGCCTTCCAATTCGCACGCACAAATCACATTCCATGATCATCCTCCCCACTTTTAGTTCAACCCCCTGCCTAACCTAGCCCAAACTACTTCAAACACCCTTGTTAGACTAACTAATATTTCAAACAAAGGCAATGGAAACAACTTGAGCTATTTTTTTTCCTCCTTTCCTCCGCCCCTTACTTCGTCTAGCAGGAGGCTGTCAAGGCCGGATGGTTGGAGAGCTGAAGCATGAGGATGGCGCAGGCTTGAATATTATGCTCTTAATTCTATTTTACGGAGGGGTGCGCTCAAGGCTGAAGGTGGTTTGTTGCAGGCTGCAGATTAGGCGAGAGGTGGATGAGTGCGAGAATCCGGAGAGCTGGTAGGCACGCTGATGCCGGTGCGACAGGGTCATCTAAATTATATTGCGGAGAGGAGAGCTCTTTGTACTTGCCGTCGCGATGCGTCAATGTGATGATAGTGGGTTAAATGTACCCCTTGAAGATATAATACAAACCCACAATGCCGGTACTATCAGATTCTACCATAATTCCTACACTGTCAATGTAAGTTATTTGGCACCACAGCTGACCCGTTCTGGAAACCATAGGGCAAATCCGGCACAATACTGCGGTCACTTGCTGAGACTTCCCCACCTAACCACCGAATGAACGACAACCGCGCCAGGAAATCTAGAACTTCCCCCCACCGAATTACTATCCCTTGGCCGGTCTGACACCGACAAATTTGTAGCCAGACACGCTTAGCCCGCCCTGGAACCAACTGAGCCTTGTTGTGATTTGCTGAGAACATCTAAACTCGCGAGTCGTGCTGAGTTATTTAAACACTTGCATGGCCGAAAATCCGATTTTCTCGCCAAGTTCAGCAAACGGTTGCCAAATCTGGCCTTGCCGTGCCTGACTACGAATCCGACCGTTTCAGACTGACCAAGGGATAGCATGAAGGAGAAAGCAAACCAAAAGGATTGCCTTCAGCTGAGGCAAATAAGAATAAATAAAAAATACAACACACCTGACTGTGATAGAAGAGGTGCCTCCAACGTCGCGTTAGGATCCTCAATTGTTCCAGTTCTTGCCCCGTGGTCATCCCCTCCAGCCGTGAACCCTCCCCACGCGCTATCATCTCAAAGGCAACCCCAGTTACTAAAACCACCATCGCACAAACTCAGTACCGGTACCGTAACTTATCCCAATTCCCAATTCCAAAGCTTAATTCGCCGCCTGCGCGCATGATACTGTACCGTACACACCTCTCCCTCTCCCCTTGACAGTTCTCCCTCAGGAATTGCCTTACCAGAGTGTGAAGGGAGGGGGGGGGCGTGGCACAACCCCACCGCCAGTAGGTTTATCGCGCTACCGGTATGTCACCCACTTTATCCCAAGGCCACCAAGGACCCGAATTCCTAAGACTTATCCCGAGAGGGCCGGGCGTAATGTTGCGATATCGGCGATAACAACTCGTCATGATTCGGGAAAGTGCTTGAGTGATCTGACAAATTCGTTGATGAGCTAGTAAGGATGAGAGCCCAGTCGAGCGAAGTCTAAATTGAGTTTATACCACACCGGGTGATACTCCGATACGATGGCAGCCTAGAATATGCGTAGTGATATTGGAAAATTCCGGAAGATATCACGGAAGCGAGAGGAATAGAAAAAGGGTGTTCTTTGCATGATTTAGTAGGTGTGGAATCTAACTTTTGCCGTCCCGGATTCCATTTGGTGAGCCTGACAACACCCCCAGGGTTTTTACTTGTGTGATATGATAAAACAACCAAGGTCGGGAGCAGTTGTCAGGGCTCGCCCCCACGTTCGAGTTCCTGCATGTGCGAGTAGGATTTGGGTTCTTTTTACAGTCGCCCCAGGCATCGACTTCGCTTGCGGATATGGGGCCTCTCTCGATTTGGTGATCTGTCCTACTCCCCAGGACGTTGAGCGGCTTATCCGGCTCGTAAAGAAATGACTCTTTCCGCTGGTGTTGTGCGCTGCGATGGACTCTGCTCGCCCAAAGTGTCGATATCTGTACGAGCACTGTACCGGTACCAAAGAACTACAAGTGTAGCTGCCCCTAAAAGGTACTGTATCATCGGGATTGACGTCAGATCGGCCTTGCGAAACATTCCTTCGTATTCAATTGATACCACTCGAATACAATAGCGGTAGTTCCATCCAAGCCGGCGGTTGACATAAACCCCACCATAAGTTAGTGGTGGGGCTGTGAAGCAAGAAACATGTGTTCTGGAGATCTAGGATTCCACTGATAGAGTCTTCAAGGCTGTTTATTGGTAACAAGAAAGTAGGCGAATTAATCAAAGGAGTGAAGAGAGCAAATGAGTGCCTTGGAGAAGAAAAGTGTGAAAAGAAAAACGGAATGGTCAGGCGCGAGTCGTTGACTGGCATGTGTGTGAACGGGTAAAGGTTAGGTTGGTTCTAGAGGCGGAGGTTAGAAAGCTGAATGTGATATGATATGGGTGTTCCACGGAAGAGGGAGTTACGCGAGTACGGTACCATACAATTTAACGGGTTGAGGATGGGTTACGATACAAGTACTACCAGCATGGAACTATTCCGCTACGGTACGGTACTGTGCCTGCCCTGAACCATCGGCGTGTACCGGTAAGACGGTAGGAAATTTTGTGCCGCCTCTATCAGTGTCTAAGACAAACCGGGTGGTCAATAAGGAGCTCTGTTAATTGCCATACTAAAATTCCATCGGTGGTTACTACCGTACTTGTATTAGCTGTATGACCGTACCTGCGCTTACCGCTGAAGAATGCTGGGGCAATATCTTAACCATCTCTATCTTGAGCGCTGACAGGGGCGGTGCAAAATCTTCCGCCATCTTAGCGGCGTAGGAGATAATATAAAACTTCTCGACGGCTCTAGAGGCAATCGTACTTGTACCACTCGCGAACTTCATAAGTATCCATCCGGACGCCTGAATGCCAAGAAACTCAAAAAAAGCAGACTCTCGACGCCAAGGTGTCCAGGCATTCCTGAAATTAGCGAGTAGTACAGTATGATATAGGCACATCTCTCGGGCCCTGTCCATAAAACCTTGGGACAGAAATGGGGGTGGATAGGCGTTAGCTCAGCCCCGCCAAATCAAATGAAACATGTTCGGTACACTCCGTTGACCATCCCGGTTACCGTATTCGCCTTGCGCACTCACTCAGCAGGTTCGATGGGGTGCTCGGGTGCGGTACGAGAACCAGTACCGGTGGGACAGGAATATACTGAGAGGGTACGGGTCTTGGTCTCTGTGCGCCTTCAGTATTATTTTGTCTTAAAGACTTTTTAAGTGTTTGCCTATGAATATCAACGCTTTTCGGATGTCGAATCTTGGAAGAGCGTTGCTAAAATATCTAGTATGAGTAGAATACCGTAGGGAGTTACCAGTACTGTATTTCATATACATCATAGGACAGCATCCGAGTGAACTCTACCGGTAAGGGGGGGTCTCATAAGGGCTGCCTATCAAGCAAGCTGCTTCAGGATATGCGCATACCAGCAGGCTTCAATACCCCCCCGCACAATCGATTGATTGGGCAATTGACTACCGGTAACCTCGACGACGGGTACTTACGCATAGAAGGTTGGCAGATTGGAAAATCTATCCCTTTCCTGATATCATCCCTAAAATACTTTATTTCAGCCTTGTTCCCCTCTCCATTACCTGACCGCGAATGCAAAAAATTCATTATGCCGAAAATAGCCCTACCACATCCGAGAGTGTCCCGCTCAACTAGCGCAGGTAAGCCCTCAGCCTGGGTTGACAAATGGTAAAAAAAAGTTAGAGAGAATGAAGTTACGGGTAAGTTATCCTTGATGGTGGTACAAGCACAGCAACAATGTCTTCCGACAGCCGCGCTCGATTATGATGACCCTAGTACCCCACAGGATGAGAGAGAAAACCCAAGGCAACAGTCAAAACGTTCGAGACAGTAGTTGCCTGAAGCTGAGGAATGCACCAACTGATCATGCAACCACACCCTGACCCCTCCCATCCATCAATCGCCGCCTGAAAGTGCCGAGCGTGACACTACAGGAGGATGGCCTCTCAGGGATGTGCGCATCGCAACCTAAATTGTAACAACAATGCGATGGATGGGAGGCCACAGGCAAGAAACGAATAGCGGCGCCCCAACCCCGCGTAACTTAACAGGAAAGCGCGCGCGCAGCGGGCAAATTTCCCCCCGACAACCTGCCCGAGTCTTGAAATATATAGAGGGGGTTCCCTCGTCCACGGTTTAATGATTCGGAAAACTAAGGAGGAAGCTTCCATCGTCCATACCATTCCTATTTTTGTCTCTCTCTCTTTTCATCTCGCAACTAGAAGTCCTTCTCTCGGCGTGGGGGTAGCAGAATGCCATCTCGAAGCGCTATTAACAGGTTAATACGATGGTAACTGTCACCACTGGGATGCAGGAGTACTATCCTCCTTATTCTTTCTTCTCCTTTCCCTTCTTCCTTCTGATGCCGGGAAGTCATGCCATTGGTGTCGTGGGTGTGGATGAAGGATTGGTAACTCTTGTGGGCGGATGTGGATTCTTTTTTTTAGTTTTGGTACGTCGTTGGCCCCACACATCTACTCGAGTATTTCAGCTTCCGGCTCCCTCGTTCGCCCCATCATTGTGTTGCACAAGTCTTCGACTGCATCGGTGCTAGTATCCTTGGCGTAACCGGGGCTGGGGGTTGCGCCACGCTGAACTCGTCTAGTCACCCGTTTGATCATTCCGCACTGCCACATTCTCCCATCCACACACTCACACTCGCGCGCTCGTCCCCAGCGCCCACTCCCTTCCCATCCTTTCACTTTAAACCATTTTAGACATACGGTCCTCGCCGTAATGCAACTATGCTAACTTATTTATCTAGTAAATAGATAGTATGTACAAGAAACAAATTGATTAATTTTTACACAAGAGGCCATCGAGAAATGCAATAGGTTTTCCACATAAAACGAATGAATTTTGAGAGAAAAGATAACTAAACCAAGCAAGCAACCCAATCGCCCAGCAATCACTGACAAAAATGAAAAGAAACAAAAAAGCAGAAAACAGAAAACAAAAAACAAAAACAGTGGGATCACACGGGGGGGGGGGGCTAAACAGGCAGGACAAAACGGAAAACAGGGGGTAATCGCAAAGATGAGGAAAAAAACGCACTGGGGGATATGGAAAGGAGATAAAATGGAAAAATCAAGAAAAACAAGGCCTGAAAAAAAACAAGACGGCGGGGAAAAAGACAAAAAGTGACGGGGAAAGCGAAATATTAAGTCACCAAGAAAGAATTCAGCAAAATGAGGAGGAAAAAAAAGGAGGAATAGAAAAGAAGAAAAAAAAAACACTTTCTTCGAAGCACCCCCTTCACCCCGTCCTCCCTCCTACACTCAAAAAGGCCAAATAGGGTTTTCAAAAATGTCTCCGGCGTACCACCCATCTGCCGGTTGCTGATACTGCGAAAATTGGTCATTGTCGGCGACCGTTGCTGTAGATTCCGCATCAGAGTTGGCGGCACCGGACTCCAGGTTCGGCTGCGGGGTTGTGGACTTGCGTCCGGACTTCTCGATAATATCTCCGTGCACACCGCGCAGGTGCTGGACAAGATTGTCCTTCCTTTTGAATCCATTTTCCCCCACTCGCCCGCAGCCTTCGTGAGGACAGTCAAGGAGCACCGGGCGTTTCTCCTTGGGGACTTGGTCTCTGTGCACGGAAGCCATGTGGCGCTTAAGTTCCGCTGAACGGCCGAATATTTTTTCGCAACGGCACACGGGGCACTGGTGGGGTTTCTTGGATCTACGGGGGAAGGAGGTTCACGATCAGAATTGGTTCTTCAATAAAAATTGGCTTTTGGCATGGTCTTCTCTTGCTTTCTTGTGGACTTTTCTTCTTTTTTTGGGATGGGAAAGAAGAGGGGGAAAGCGAAAGATAGAGAGACTATTGCGAAGGGGATTTTTTTTTGCGATTTAGAACTTACTTTGTGACTCCCGCGCTTGGGCTGGTGGGACTGCTCGGGCTGGCGGAGCGAGTACTTGTTAATTGTCCATAACTGGTTTTGCTGTCGCTGGTTCGGGTCGAGGCACGACGTTTTATAAAGCGGGTTGCAGTTTTGTATACAGAAACAGGCAGTACGATTCCTCGTGTTTCTGTGGTGTTTACCGATCCTTCTGCTGTAGTTTTCGGTGTTTCTATGGTGGTTGCCGATGGTTCCGCGATGATCATCCTGTCTGCCGGGATGAGCTGTTGGGGATCGATATGGTAATCGCCCCACCGCGGGCCGAGAGCAGTGTTAATCGCAAACAATTCGCTGTAGCTTTTCCACTTTTAGTTTCGATTTATTCACGCTGTCTCACAACCCCCCTCCTGCCTTTCCTATCTCCCTAAAATTCTGCCTAAGCTGGGGTTCGGGGAATATTTACCTCTCGGGAGCTTGGGTGGACGCAAAAGACATATGACCTCCTCCTATATGATTTGCATCCTGAGAATTTCCAGCGGTGGGACTTACACCGGAAACTCGACTTGACTCCGGGGCGGAACTCTCGTCGTACAGTGGCATCTCGCTGTCATAGCTGGCCTCAGGCAGTGGTGAACAGTATGTACATATAATGTCGCTGTTTGGGCCCCATGGGAAAGTACAACCAAAACTGTGCATGGAATTTGTGTGGCTAGACGAGACGAAAGAAAGGTTTGGGTATTCCAGTGATGGATCTCCTGCGGCGTATATCGAGTTTGGGGCACGATCTTGTGTAGCGTGTGTACCCATATTATTGTTTGCGGAAGAGTATTCCGGGTTGATGGGGGCCTCAGTAAAGTCCTCGGACATGTGGCGTATTGGCCTTGTTGTTAAGAGATATTCGTGATATCCGCGAAAGTGCTGGGGGGACCGGTGGTGAGTTTAGATGTGTTTTTTATTGTCCGCTCAAGTTGGAGTTCAAATGTGTAACACTCTGAAGGTGTTCCCAGAGACTTATAAGGGCAATAATGAGCATCGGGGGCCGGGGAGTTATATGTTCTAAAGCACGCAGTCCGACACAAGGCCAAAGAGTTGTTGCCTTGCGCAGTCCCTCGCCCCGTGAAGTGCTCAGTAGAATTCAGCCTTCTGGTCCCTTTGAGATGCAAGCAAAATGGCAAGTATTTATCTGCCTTAAAGGTAGCGTTGGACCTGGTCTGGCTGCTCCGTCCAGTACTGTTGCCTGATCCCGACCAGGCTCCAGTGTGTGACCTCTACTCGAGAACTCGCTGTTTTTCAGATTTTTGGAACATTTCCGTCTTACACCGGTACAGGAGCCGTTGGCATATCCCGCTAGCTGGGACCGCCCCTGGCCCTTTCTAGGATCACTTTCAAGCCTATTGAAATACTACTTTCTGCGTATTGGGAGAGGGGGATGAAAGGTGCGTTTTCGCTGTCAGTGTGGGCTGAGAAAAAACAATGGGATTGTTCGTTGTCTACTACTTGCACAGCCCCATCCATGCAAGTAAGGCAGGCCCACCAATCATCAACGAGAGAAGAAAGACACCCCCTATGGACGTGTACGAGTACTCTTGTACAATCCTCGAGTTCAATGTCATTCCATCAGGGTTGGATCCTTTAGCAGGGTTACAAGGCTTCGGCTATCTTACCAGCGTTCGAGGGATAAGTGGCAGCAACAGAGGCTACCAGTGCGCCATGGACATCTCAGGTACAGCACTCCTTCTATGTATCATTGCCTCTCCCCCCGTTTTTTTTTTTTTACCCCATCGTCTTAGATGGTTTCATGCGTATCATCTGCCTTTCATCGTGTCTTCTGATTTCAGCGGAAACCGTTTGCTCATACAAAGAGCGGGGAGACTGGGAGTAAGTTAGGTGTGAGTCGACTTGAGCCTCTTGATCGACGACGTTCTTGCTCCCTCGGGAGCTTTTGTCCGTGTGAGTCCAGCCAGACCACAACCAAGAAAAGTGATGGAAATGTGCACAAAGCGTCATCAGAGCTAAAATTGCCACTTTTTCTCGGGCGGCCCAATTGCGTTGGTCGGAAGCGCCCGGTTCGGGGAGAGGTATGTGGCCCATGCTTCAACGCTTCGATGTATGATAGCAGGATATTGAGGACGATCCTGCTCGTGACTCCCATAACTTGTGAACTGGATCTGCCTCATGCGCGACAGCTGTACTCGCTGTGCTAAAGGCTCATCACTCTTTTTTGGTATTATATTGCTTATGGCAGAGCGCAAGGTAGATTATGGGATTAGTGTTCGATTTAGAACCGAGGTCGCAGAGCTCCGGGAATTGGGACTGAAGCGATGCTCTCAATCCGTTTATCGTGGTAGCACCCGTACAGTACTTGTGCGGCGGATGCCCGTTTCCACAATTGTGACTCAACCGAGAATCTTCCCCAATCAGCCTCGCAAAAACCCTTTCTGGGGAATTCAGTGAAGGAGGAAAGGGAAAAATTCCCTCAAGCTTTTCATATTTTGGTCCCGATATTTTCTCGTTCTCTGTCTCTTCCTGTCGTACCGACTCCCGCTCTCGCTAATTGCGGTGTCGAAATGCTTAAGTTAGTCCGCATCCGTTTCTATACCAGTTTTCCGCCTGGGAGGTGATTGTTCCCTTTCGCTCGGCTTCTTGACCTTCCTTCCCCTGTTTTCATCGGGGTATCTCGTTGTTTCTTTTAAAAATAAACAAAGTCGTTTCCAGGGCCTAGACCGGTGGCTCGTCCTGATTGATCTCGGTGCTGCACTCGAGCATCATCATAGGTCGCCAACCATGTCACAGGCAGACTACAATTCCTTGCTCGGTAAATCTGCAATGTACTGTACTGCACTGTACTAGAGTACAGTACTTCCCATTGCTGCAGCCGAGCACTCGAGCAGAACTACCGGCCGTGACAACGCGTCATTTGCCAATTGTCTTCACCGTGCTAAACCAATGATCCAAATCCGAGCCAGTATTAAGAGGGTATAGCGAATCTGCCTGGTTGTGAATCGTGCACTTTTGATGGCCTAAGGTTGGGTCTAATCAAAATCTACGCTACCCAGCCCATCGGATCCCGTACCTTTGGGTAACCAGTAATGTGTGCTGAAATGGGATTGCCAACTCGAGAAAATATGGTTCAGAAAATAATAATAATTGCTTTGTATCTTGGGTTATATGCGAAACCGACGGGCGTGCGAAGTGCCACATCGCGGGCGTGGCTTTGCGAATACTTTACTGGAGTCGTCCCCAACCTTCTTTCCGTCAGCCTGGTTTCCCCGGTGCCCTATCACACAGATACATGTGTGTTCCCCCGTATGTCCTGCGCTGGCCCCGGCTGTCGCAGAGGAGGTAAGGCCCTGTGCAAAACACTCCAAGTGCTGTTGGGCGCTTGCACATTAGGGTTCCTGCAGGGATGTTCTGCAGGGATTTTGTTGGGACTTGCTCCAACCACCTGGGCGGTACTGTCGGTGAGGATTCTTGGGTCCTAGGGAAAGGGAAGGAAAGAGATGAGGTGTTAGGGGTAGAAGTAGCTAGAACATCAAACATCAGGAAAAAAAACAACCTGTGGGCTGCCGTAGTTTTGTAAATGTGAGGGTTTGTAGTAGCCTAGCTCTCCTTTTTTTTTTTTTTTTGCTTTTTGCCCCACGTCTTAATCCCAAACTTAGAAGCACTCCGGGAGTCTGTTCGACCTATAAAACTTCTGTCATCAAAAATTCAACACGAGTACTTTGTTAACTTTACGGCAGTAGAAACTTGCCGACCAGATTTTAGTCCCCTCGTACAAGCTAGGAGGCCTGACGCGGAAACCACACTTACTGTATCCTAGCCCAAGTCAAATGATTCTAAGAACCTTATATTGGGGTATGGCCTGCTATTACAGTATATGGATAGCAAAAGTTTTTGAAGGAAGAAGAGGTAGTCCAGACTATAAAGCCTCTCCAGGAATGAAGATGTGGTAGGGAGTGCGCTTGGCGGCGGCCCAGGCTCCCGAAGGGTTAGGGTTGTGGGATAATTGCTCTTGCTATAATAATATTATATAGTAGTCCCTCCCGGTATTAGTCCTAGAACGGTGGCGCTGACCGGCTGTTGCTCTATTAATTGAGCCTGTAGTTACTCTAGCTAAACTAAGGATCGAACAGCAGAACCCACCTCCAAACCAAGACCAGGAGCGTGTTGTGTGATGTGACCCCAGAATTGTGCAAACTTCGGAAGCAGTATTTTTCCCGGAACTGTCAAGGTTGGACCCTTGAGTTAACCCTCTGAAGTTTAACCTATAGCTTCCAGAATACTGTAGCAGTCTCCTAGAACTATTAGTGTACGGGCGGTCGTGGGAGCCGGGACAACAGTAAAAAGTTGCCTCGGAGATGCAAAGAACGCGCATGGCATTAGGACAAGCAAACAGGTCTTGAGCCGGGGTATGCGTGAACACGCTGGGAGGGCTCAGGATGCAGTAGGGAGGCCGGGTACGCCAGGTCCCCGGTGCGAAGACAGAACACACTCCTAGTGAAAGAGAAAGGATTAATCCAGAATGTCGATGCAAGCCGCACTTTAAATAAGGCTATGGCTGGGCGCGCTAAAAAGCTACTGGCCTTGGTGGGGTGTCGGCGGGGTGTTGGTGAAATACGGCTCCAGAAACCCCGCTTGGGCACGTACAATTGAAGAGCCCGAACCTGGGGCAATACTATTACGGCTCTTGCAGTCCCTTAAGTACCAAAGTTTAAAAACCTACTCGATTTCTGTTAGGTAATATCCAGTGACTTTCCTGAGAATTGGGCTAGTGTTCCCTGGACCTAACCTTGGGATCTCGATTCCGAATTATTGTGCAAAGAGGGGTCGGTCCTCAGGTGGAGGGGATGAGCTCCGTTAGTATTATTTTTTTTGCCTGGTGTTTCTGGAAGTGGACCATCGCAAGATACCTCCTCTAGGCACAGGCTATATGTAGCTGAGTCGATGCCAGACTGCATGGGCAAAAATTGGGCTTAACCAGTCCCAAGGTTAATCATATTCATAGATGATCACTCGGGTTAGACTTATGGTTGAAGTGATAGATGAAATGTTTATCCCCTGCAGTGACGATGGCGCTGGATTTCCCTACAACCTGATACATCCTGGTTAGCGAGACCAGAAGTAGCCTCGTTTAGTAGTGGCTTCATGAAAAGTGGTCTAGTTCCCGGCTGTGCAAGTCCAGGCTCCCCGGGGCGGGGGCTTAGCTTGCAGGGCACATGCTCTTGCAGTGAGGCTTCCGGGTGCAGGGAACCCACTGAATGAGGCGGATCCGGGGCGTTCCTGCATGGGTTTCGGGCCCTTGCCGCCGCTGATATTCCACCATATCGGGACAGTTGATAGGATAACATGGTAGAAGGTCTATTTAACACTGGTGTCATAGAAGAATAAAAACAAGATGTCATACCACTGATTTTTTTTTCTTTTTTTCCAGTGTGCTCGTGTCGCCGGACTGGTGAGGCGTTTATGTTTGGCCGCGACACGCAAAAAGAGGCATCACTTGGATCCGGCGACATGAGCTCCCGTCCAGCTTTGCCAAGAATGGTGGTAGATGGTTAATTTTGAGCTTCAATCTCACTTCCTAACCTATTTTCGGCGACAGGTGCTATTCTTGCTAAATACACTCTAGTAGGGGAGTTGGTAATCACTACCACTAGAGGGGATATATCGACAGGGGGTGGGGGGAAGCGAATGACGGCGAGGGACAGCGGTGAATTGTATGGTTGATGCTTCTTGAGTGTAGCTCTACACTATGTGTTCTCGGAACCGGACAAACAAGCGGTATGAACGTGCTGAGGTACGAAGCCTCGGAGCTCAAATTTGGAATACGCCCGCCTCCGAATAATGATAGCTTTGGCCTTATTCTTCTTGAGGGTTAGAGAAGATGGGGTGGACAGGTAGCGCAGCTGTGGATGGCCAACTAGGCAGTCAATCTAGTATATTATTCTAGAACTACCGAACCGGTATACTTCTAGCTAAATCTCCCAGTAAACCCGCAAGAATAAAAAAAATGTTGGAAATTTACGGTTCTAGGCTGCTCACCACATACATAGTTTCCCATTCCCAGAGTATGAGAAACGGAACTACAACGGCCTCATACCAATCCTTGTTTTAGCGA